AAAAGTATTATTCATATAATCTCTAAAATATATAAAAGTAATATATCTTAGCTAGTAAAAAAGAATCATTAAATAATTAATTAAATAACTTATAATTTATTATTTAATTTAATTTGAGTTTTATAAGTTTAATTCTTAATTTATATTTTAAATAGATCATAATTAAAGAGAATTCTAAGAAATATCTCTTATAAAATAGATCTTAATTAAGATTTTTTATCTTATCTTATTAATAAACTAATTATTATATCTATTTTTAAATTATATTTTAAAATTGAATTATATTCTAATTAATTATATTAAAGAATACTATTATTATCTATCTTTAGAAATTATCTTTGATAAATTCTAGTAGAAAAATATATTTTTATTAATATATTATAAAGAAACTCTCTATATTATAATTTTCAATAAAAATATATATTTTTAATAATTTAAGAATTATACTTATCTTTTAGATTAAAATACATATCAAAAAGATAATAATATCTATAAATATTTTTATAAAATAATATTGATTAATTAATTTATTTCTAACTATAATTTCTAATTCAATAAATAAAAGTTTATTATATTTAATTTTATATATTTTAAGTTTAAATAAATTTTTATAATTTTACTTTCTAAATTCTTATTAATAAGATATATAAGTAAATCTTTTTATTAAATTAATATAAATATAATAATTATCAAATATATCTTATAATCTATAATATAATATAATTTAAATATAAAAATTTCTTAATATATATTAATAAAAAATTTAAGTATTACATTACTTTTGATGATCACTGTATAATATAGTTATGAAAATAGAAAATATATCAATTATGAATAATTAAGTTATTATCTATAAAGCTTATATAATACAAGTTGAAAAAGTAAGAAGAAAAATCATAGAAAATAATAAATTTTATCAAAATAAGCTTGTGATTTGAGAAAGTATTTATCAAAGAAAATTAGTCTTTAAATCAAAAGATAAAATTATAATTATTTTTAATCATGATATTAATTAGAAAATAAAAAAATGAAAATTAAAATGAATATGTAATAATAGTAAGAAGATTATATTTATATATAGTAATAATTAGAGATGATGCAACAAGTATGTAATACTTATTTATTATCTATTGTAACATATTGAAACTTTAAAATTTTATAAGTTATAACTAGTTATAATTAAATAATATTTATTTATTATCATATTACAATAGTTAAGAAGTTATTTTTAGTAATAATAGAACTGTAAAAGTTGAGATCAATAACAAAATAAAGATTTTTATAGCAAAAAACTTAAGAAAACTTAGATGAGTAATAAAACAGATAGCGAGAAATAGATAATGAAAGATAGATAATAAAAGATAAATAATAGAAATAAATAGATTTTTTTAAAAAAAACAAAAATAAATTCTCTTTAAATAAAAATAATTTTATTATTTTTAAGCAAATAATAAAAACTGTAAGATAGAATAATATATTATTATTATAATTATGTATTATTATTTTAATGATATATTATTATTTTTAAATATATAATTAAAGTATAATTCATCATAAATATGTAAATTTTTTGATCAATCTAATAAAACAAATCCAACACAACATATGAAAAATATTGAAATTATAATTTTCTATATAATCTTGTTCTCTGTCTAATCATTATTCTATCTCTTATTATAATATGTCATTATAAATAGCATGTGATTTGCACATAATCACGTGCTCACATGCACATTTACGTGATACATGATTACGTACATAAATCATGTGCTATGTGCATAAAAAAAATATTTAATCTGAATTCGTTTATATCTTCCCCAGCTTTCACCACGACTTGTTTCTTATCCCTCTTACAAAATTTTAAGCAACTTTCTCCCCTTAATCCCTTTCTTTTTTACGTAACCGTTATAATGCCAGCTTCAACTTCTACCGAGATTGACGACTTTTCAACAATGCTACAAATTAAAGGAGTATATTAGATTCTGCGAGAAATAATGAACAATATCTATCTCCCAACTTACCTTTCTGGTAACTTCATTTCCACCTGAAAGCTGCCATCTGAGAGAGGATTGTCAACTTTGATTAAATTTCCAATGATGGCACGACGAGAGAAAACGCCTTCGACACTGATAACATCATCACCATCAGCAGTAAAGATGCTGATTTCTTGTTTAGTTTTGATTGAAGGAGTATCGATAACAGTAACGAAGTGTTCTCTAGAATATAGAAGAAACTGAGTGGCTGTTTTTCAGTTGTGAATAACTAGTATTACAGGTATGGATGTTGAGAACTAAATCATTTGCCTTTTGTCTTTCCGAAGTAATTTCTCAAATATTGTGCATAATCTACCCAATTCATTAGGGATTCGTCCCTTGCTATTTTTTTAAAATTCGTTTCTATTAATGGTTGTGTTCAGAAGGAGAATTGGCATATGAATGTAAATAATGCAAATGTCTGACGTGTTTTCTTTTATCTCCATATTTACTAACTCTATCCTATCCCTAGTCTTCTCTAAACCTCCGTTACGTGCTTTTCGAGCAAGTCAATCGCAATTCCCAAGCATTGTATATATATGGCATAGCACTGTTCTTCCGTCTTCCTAAAAAAAATATCAAGACATCAATTCGGGTGTATTTATGGCGTTTTTCACTCTTTATGCTTACTTTTTGGTCTGTGTTCATTGACTCAAGCATCAAAATGCCGTCAAAAACTGCTGGTAATTTATCATATTTCTCTTGAGGAAAGCTATATCGCACTGCACCCTTCGCTGAAGTGAAGATTTATCACCTTTCCTTACCTTGCTGCTAATCATTCTGTTTTTCTTTTTTCTCTTCCACTTTAGAATTTCCGCCAAAGTACTCGCATAACTGCTGTGGGAAAGCTGAAAGATCTGTCATGTTTGCGAGCTGTTTAGAAGACGTGGAGGCACAACCCTTGGATGAATGGTTGAGGACTTTGACACCAGTCTCATTTGTGCATATTATCAAGAAACCTTCTAAGGGGTGAGAGAGCTTCTTTCATTCATGTGTGATTACCATGACCCTCGCCAACACCAACAGTATTATGTTTTTCAAGGTTTGGACATCTTCATAACATCCAAAGAAGCTGCATCATTTTATTATCAAATGAAAGACGATCCAAAGGACGGGCCTTTCGGTCGTGTTAGATTTGTTACCGCCAAGTATTTTTCTACAGGAATTACTGTCAGCTATAAGAAGACAAGCTTCTCTTTCTGTTTCTTGTCATTGGGACCAGTCTCATAAGATAATCGTTTGTTCATATTTATTACACGTAGGATGGAGTTGTAAGTGACGAGAATGTGCATAAAGAAGATGAAGTGAAAAAAA